CATTACTTTGCCTGCTATAGAACTCTGGTGCTGCATGATTGCCGTCCTATAAGTTTCAGTGCGTACACGATCCTGTATGAGGAAATTTTGCCACATAAGTCAATAAATTATATGACGATCGAATTACAGAAGAATAACCATAACAATGTTTGTCCAAGAAAAAAAAAACCATAGCAATGTGTTTCCAATGACACGGCAGCAAATGTTCCCTTGAAATTTTGAAAAGACAAAGACACAGAACCTTAAACAACACATAATGATGTTATGGCCCAAATACTTTTACAAGGTTTCTTATTCGCATTCCCACTTGAGATACATTCTCATACAAGAAGAAAACAATCGTGATGAGCAGTAACAACAATAGAATATCCCATAAAGCTAAATTTCATTTCCCCAGCTGCCATGAACCCCACCGGAAACTCAGAGCATAGAAGCGGTAAAAAAAATTGAAATCCGAGACTAACACTAGGAAATTTCGTAATCGATTCTGAAAAAAAAAATTCAAAATGCACCTTAATCATTTCTTCGTGGATACCAACGTGGGCGTAGGAGTGGAAATAGGCCATGTCGAAGTCGGTACAAGGCGCTCCTTGTTGTTGTTGTTGCTGCTGCTTATTATGCTCAGAAACCCTAAGCCCGCCAAAATTACCACCACTACCAAAGCTCTCTCTGAGCTCACGTGACCTGGCACGTGTTCCCCGGCGGACTTTATCCCTCTGGCTCATTCCGTGCTGCTGTTGCTGTGGGTGGTAGCCGTTACTGTAAGCCGGGCTCGAGTTCATTGTTTTGGTGCCCGCTCGCTCGCTCGCGCTCACTGGCAGACCCAATTTTGAGGGAGAAGAAATATAGCGCCGTTTGACGTTCGCATTTTTCACCAAATTTAAGTTTTTCTTTTCTTTTCGTCAAGTTTTTTTAAAATTATTTTATTTTATTTAATAACTCGGACCGAGTTTTAGTTTGTCCGCTATACGGTAAATAAAAGCCCTTGAATTTTTCAAATTCCTTAAACATCTAATGAATATATGTGTAAACTCCCACCTTCAATTGCTTGTATTTTTTTAAAAAAACATGCTTGAATTTTTCAATTAAAAAAAAAAGCTATTGAATTTAATACATTTTTATTGTACCTCTAATATTCTAATAAAAACACTAAATTTTTAGTGCTTCTAATAAAAATGTTGTTACTCTTCTAATCAATGTCTTCAATATTTATAATTAAAAAAAAACAAATCAGAAAAAATGATTTTGTTACTTACACACCTATTTTCTATCTATCTCTCTCGCTTTTTTATTTTTTATTTAATAACTTCCCCCCAGGAAAAACATCCAACACATACATACATTCGAGGAAATATTTCATAGGTTTTTTATTTTGCTACAAAAAGATATTATAGGTTGGGGCCAAAAATCTAACTAGTTATTCTCTAGTGGTAAGTTTCTCTATTTTGCATAAATGCATTATAAGTTTGAAATTTTCATATTCCATACTAAAGGAAGTTTATGAAACGAAAATTTAACTTACCAATTGTTGATGTCCAAAAAATCCAAGGCTGAGCCCAAATATATTTTCGGCCCAGTACAACACCAAGCAGAAATCCTTATTTAAGCAAACATGCCAGGCTACAAACTTAAGTGGGCCCAAACCACGCGAATGTCTGGGGCTTGTTGAGCGGGTTGTGGTATGGATGGTTACAAGTATTCACAAGGCCCATTGATGGGCGAAGAAGTGAAAGTTTTGGGCTGATTGGGAGCACCAAAATTCGAGCCCATTTCTTAAGCCCAAACATATGGGTAAGTCTGAGAGAGAATTAGTGGCCCAATAGCTTAGGAAAATATTCAATGGCTTACAAACACTTGGAAAAATTCCACATCAGCCAAAATGTCCAGCACCTTGATCAAAAAGGTCGTTTCCAACAACTCGAGCAAACTCACAGGCCACTGGAAACAAGATACCAATAGCCCAGCCCAACATCGTGGAAAATATCCAGCATATCTGTCAAAACCATCAAAACCAAACAAACTCATATGTTGATCATCTTTTGACTAGCACCCATACCTATTATTTCCTCTTCAAGCTTTGATGAGAAAACAAAAAGCAAAAGTGAGTGGCTCCTCACCCACATGGAAAAGTCCAACTGCCTGAGAACCTTGGAACTCCAAAAAGCTTCATGCCTACATGCTCAAGCCAGGGAAGTTTCACCAAATAAGATGGAATTGAAGAAAGTGAAGGAAAAGGGAAAAGGGTGTCTTGATAAAATTAGAGTTTTCAGTGCCTATAAAAGGAGCCACTTTCTACCCAGCAAAGACAACTCACCTTGGTTGCAGCAAGCCTCCCAACAACCATGAGAATTCATCGAAGGCAAGCATCCCTTCTGGAACGCTTCAATTTCATGCTTTGTTCTTCCATCTTCCTCTTTGCTCTCTCTCAAAACCCACATTCAGAGAGAGCAAGCATCATCTCTCATCTCTGAAACCTTTCAATTTCAAGCATTGTTCTTATATTGCTTCCTATTTTCTCTTCTGTCAAATCGCTCAGGAGCTCGACGAAGCTTTCGTCAAGCTGCTAGAAATGCTAAAGCCACCCATGCTTCCATCTTCTTCGTCTCTTTCCATAAACACACATCCAGATAGCAATCATCATCTCTCATACCTGAAATCCCTGCAATTTCGAGCCATATTCCTCCATCTCCTCCCATATTCTCTTCTGGAAATCGCAGCTCTTTCTTTCTCTCATGTAAAATTCATGAATGCTCAGCTCCCATGCCACAAGCTTCTCATGTCAAACAAAGAATTTATCTATAAGCGAATGTTGGTTTCATTGGTTAAGAAGACCAAGGTGTTTCCTAAGGCTCAGCTACCATTTCGAAACATTCTTGGGGCCTATTCCTTGAACTTAGAATCAATGAGCAATTTTATACATGTTTCTCTTTTAAGCAGCCCAAGCCCATTCGTCAGGTTGTTGGAATAAAAAGACCCTACACCAATAATGTTACAATAGTATGGCTGTGGTATATTTTGTACATGTGTGTAGGGGCTTTTTCGTTCCAACATCTACTAATGGGCCTGGGCTACTGTAAAGAGCTAAATATGTGAAATTGTCCTTGGGTCTGAGTTTAAGAATCAGACCCCAAAAGTGCTTCGAATGGTAGCTGAGCTTTAGGAAACACATTGGTCTTATTCACCAATGAAATCAACAGTTGCTTACAAATAAATTCTTGGCTTGGCTTGAGAAGCTTGTGACATGGAAGTAAGTATCCATGAGAGAGAGAAAGACCAGGTTTTCTACGAGAAACAGAGGTTAAAGCAAAGGATTTCGTGAGAATTTGCTGAGGAGAGAGAGAAAGACAAAGATTATGGTGGAAAAATATATGCTTTAAGTAATTTTTCGGCAGCTTGAACGAGAAGGAGATGGGAAGATATGGAGGAATATGGCTTGAAATTGAAGGGTTCCAAGGATAAGAGGTGAAACTTGCTCTTTCTGGATGTGGGTAATGGGTAGAGGATACCCCCCTTTTATAGCTGCTGGAAGCTCCTTCTTCCTAATAAACCCTAATGGGTTCTCTCTAATTTTGCCAAGTCTTCCCTTTCATTTATCTTTCTTCCCTTTGATTCATCCTATTTTGTAAAATCCCCCTCTATCCAAACACACAGAGATAATATTTTTGGGAGCTCAAAAGTCTTCCCGCAATCGTTCCAATAGTAACCTCTCATCTCTGGTTATCACTTCTCTTTCTTTCCTCTCCTGTTTCGTTGCAAGAGTTGGTAAGGGAATGAAATAGATAGTAGTGTTGGTCTGAATGATGCTTTTTCTCCTAGTAACTTACGCGCGCTAATACCGTTTGGTCTTTTGAATGGTTTGTCTTGAGGTTTGCCTTTGATCACGTGTTGGATCCTTCCACCAGCATGCATATGCGAGTCATTGGCTTTTGTCATGGTTTTGTCTCCAGCCATGTGCTGGAGACTTTCATATATTTTTCTTGGTCATTTAAGCCTTCCTAAGGTAATGGGTTTGTCTACTAGGGAATCAATTTCACAAAGTGATGGACTATTTTTTATTAAGGTGATGGTCAATTTTCTAAAGTAGTGAGCTCCCTTTTTCTCTCATTTATGCTTACCCACATATTTGGGCTCAAGAAATGAGCTTGAGTTTTGGGGCTCCCAAGCAGCCCAAAACTTCCATTTCTTGGCTCATCAATGGGCCTCATGAATATTCGTTACCATCCATACCACAACCCACTCAACAAGTCCCGAGCATTTGCGTGGCTTGAGTCTACTTAAGCTTGTAGCGTGGCTAAGTGTAAAATAAAGGGTTTTCCGCTTGGCATGACATGTCGATTGACGTGCTCGTGCTCGAATTTCATCGTATTGTAAAGGACTATGGTCGAGTCAAAACGGCACTTAGTGGGATAATTAACATAGGTTCATAGAGCCGGTGCATTTTATAGGCTTGCTACAACTCTTAGCGTGACATGTTACATATTTGCTTGGCATGACACGTGGATCGTCACTCGTGCAAGCTTGTATGATGAACTTTTGCGTGCCCAAATTGGGTTTCTTCTCGATAAGGTATCACATTGGGCCGGTAATATATTTGGGCCTAGCCTTAGATTTTTTAGGCCCCAACAATGTGTTATAATATAAACGGACAAAATGGTTTATTTTTCCTTTTTCAGGAAATAGTATAAAAAAATATCTACTTATATTATAATACATGTAAAAGATATATCACGTAAACATAGTACCATAATATTCTACGAGTTTGACTCATAACATTCTCTCTTGTATAAATCAATAAACTATTTTTTTTCTCCATGTTTATTGATAAAGAAAGAAATAGGATTGTTGATGGTTTGCCTAGTTTGGGTTGGGCCTCACGGTGTTCGTTTGGCTTAGCCTTTTATTTTATTTTTTTGGTTTGGCTTAGCCTTTTATTTATTTATTATTTATTAAGCTTAGCCTTTTATTTTTGCGCCTTGTGTTTCTTCCCCTTTTTTTTACCTTCCCTTTTTTGGCTGCACGCACCCACTGGGCAGCTGAGGTGGATGTGGATCCCACCGTGACGGTGGTGAGGATTTCACTGCCGTATCCACCAAGAATGAAGGAGGCCTTTTCTTTAAACGGTTAAACCCAAAACCCTCAACTCACAATTCTCTAATTCTCTCTCTCTCTCTCTCTCTCTCTCTCTCTCTCTCTCTCTCATATCTTCGAATCAGAAGGAACTCAAAGCAATGGCGGGTCTTGTACCTCCAGGTACTACCAAGCGAAGCGAGGCTGCGGAGACGAAGCCTATGAACGATAAACTGGACTACACAAACCTGCCTTGCCCCATACCCTATGAAGAAATCAACCGTGAAGCTCTCAGTTCAGTATCAAATTTTTTCGTTTTTTGTTTCATCACTTTTTGGATAATGACTCATGGTTATAATTTGTTCTATCCCTTTGTGATTCCATGTACCAGTCTGCTGAATTTAATTTAACCTTCCAATTTGCTCTCTTTTGTTCCTGTTTGCTCATTGTTGATATGCCTTTTGTTGTGTAGTGTAGTGTGTAGGTATGGGATTGTTAAAAAAAGACAAACTTTTGACTAATGAAGGAATATGAATTAGTTGGTTTATTAGTGCAGGTTTTGAAAAGCCTAAAAACCTGACTTTTGAATCCCATGTAGGTGCTTATAACTCCTTTGTGTTTCTCAGGGTTTGTTATTTAATTTTTTTTTTGTTACCGTGGTCAAAGATATTACCTTTATGATTGTATTCGTTTTGGGTAATTTATATGCTGAGCCGTCTGTTGGAACATTTGGTCTTCTGCTGTTGAATTGCTCATAAATGTGTTACAGTGTAATTAAAAGTTCATTATTCTAGTGAAAGCAAAGGTGCTTTTTGATTCTTTTCTGATCCCTAATGTTGTACATTTAACCATCTCCTGATGCTTTTGGTTGAGGGTGCTCTCATCAGTGGTACTGCTACTGCCTGACTGTATTTGTGAGATTAGTGTACAGTGTTGGGTGGGTTTAGAGTTTAGGGTATTTTCCATCATTTTGCGGGATTTGACATTTTTCAGGTTCTTATTACTTTACTTTTTTGTCAACCAAACAGTGGCATAGATGTTCCAGGTTCATTCCAATGAACCAAGCACTACCGTAGTTTATTTCTAAAAGATAGTGGTTGCAATGCATTCATTGATTAAGGAAATTGCATATTTGCAAGGGGCTTGGCAGTATTTTGCTGACTTCCATCTTTGATTGGCAGTGTCTTTACGGCCAGAATGTTTTGAGGGGATGCGCTTTGATTTCACTAAAGGACTCAATCAGAAGTTCTCCCTTAGCCACAGGTTTTTGTCTTCTCCTCTTTGAGCCTTTATGCATTCCATATCAATTATTTATATTATTTTGTATATTTTACTTACTCTTTTCACCTCCCATCAGTGTACTCATGGGACCTATGACAGTTCCTTCTCAGTCTCCTGAAACCATAAAAATCCCTACTGCTCACTATGAGTTTGGTGCAAATTTTATAGACCACCCAAAGGTAGGTAGCCATCGCTATTTTTACTTATCCAGAAACCTCTTCTCGTGGAAATGGCGGAAGAAGCATTGATTGTTATATTTCTTTTCTTTGTGGGGGTTGGGGTAAATTTTTAGTTGATGCTTTTCGGGAGGGTATTAACAGACGGAAGACTTAATGCTAGAGTGAAGTGTGACTTGACTGACAATCTCACTTTGAAGGCTAATGCTCAGGTAAAATTATTTTTCATTTGTTTTTTCAATTAAACTCTTCCTTTTTTATTTTTCTTGTGTAAAAAAAGTGGAAGTATTTATGTAACTTTATTTTAATTTTTTTTTCCCAGCTTACAAATGAGCCGCACATGTCTCATGGCATGGCCAGTTTTGATTACAAGGTCAGGTCACTCTTCTCATCATATTTTTGATCTTTTAATATATGAAGTTATATATTTACTTCGCATTTTATATGTCTTGTAGAACTTCATTACTATTGAAAATCATCTTTGGCTACCTCTATTTTAGATGAAATAAATTTGTCCATCAGAAAAAAAGACAGAGGGGTGCAGGAGTATATTCTTTATCTATCTTCCATTAGCCTCACTATGAATGGTTACAAGATAAACACCAATTATCACCATGTCTGTTGTTCCTAGAGTTGGGAGTTTATTTTTGATGCAGTGGTAACCAATACTAGATTGCCTTTTGCTTTCTTATAATTCTACAAGTTTTGACATTTTCCTTTCTTGGTACAGGGCTCAGACTACAGATCCCAGATTCAAGTGGGAAATGGGGCCTTATTGCAAGCAAGTTACATCCAGGTAAGGATATTCTCCTTTTCTTTTTACCCTCCAGATAACGTGGACACTGGTACCAAACAATTTAATTTCGTGTTCATGGTTTTTTTTTTTTTTTTGAGATAATCATATTGGTATCAAACATATCTTAAAATAGTCTTAGAGGTCCAGATTTATTGAGATACTGACAATATATTGTATGATACTGACCTTATCGTAATTGTAGTCTGTTTATTGATCTCGAAGGTTAAACTCAACAACATGATTGACTGAAAATAGGCTCTGTTTTGGTAGCCGCCTTTTTATATATATATATATAGATTTTTCAATATTCTTGTGGTAATTAATTATAGTCAACACAAAAATGCTGTACTTTACAAGGATGGAGATGTTTTGTAAAACTAGGCCACTGCAGATTTATGAAATGTTCTTAGGATTATTCTGATAAATCTGTCTACGTTCTCTATATTCTTGCAGTCGGTGACTCCACATTTCTCTTTGGGTGGTGAAGTATTCTGGGCTGGTCAGCATCGAAAGTCAGGCATCAGTTATGCGGCGCGGTTCAACACTGAGAAAATGGTATTCCAGCTTGGTTTTCATATCTCCTCACATGTTTGAAGCCAGATGATTTATGATCCTTATCATTATGCATCATCATTTGTGCATTATCATTATATTTGTTTGATAAATAACAGAGCTTTTACAGAGAAAAGGAAAAAAAAAAAAAAGGTACGAGAAAATAATGAACTTCTTGTTAGCCTTAGAAAAGAGCTAAAAACTAACTGCACAAACTGAGAACAATTAGAATATTACTCCCCCATACATCCTCTGCCAACAAGGAACTCCAATCTTTATGCAAACCACAGACTAATGCCTATATCTTAGTAGACATACCAGATACCAGACTTCCAAATCATCTTAATCGGTTCAAAAGTCAAGTCATTATTGTTGAGTACAGTGATGCTGCACAAGATTGTGCATTAAGTTTCTGTAAATAAAGGAGGGAAGATAAGGGGTGTTGAGTTTGGTATTTTCTGCTAACCTCGTCAATGGTCACTGTCAAAATTTCCTTTTAAGATTTTTCATTCATTCCAGTGTACAAATATATTTTTCTTCATCCCATTATAATCATAGAGATTGCTTTTTCTTTTTTCCGTTCTTTTTGGTTTTAATTGTGGCATGCATAAATCTGAGTGAAGGCATTTTTTGTGATGCTCAATGTTCTGCCTGCAGGTTGCTACAGGACAGGTTGCTAGCACTGGAATGGTTGCTTTGAGCTACGTTCAGAAACTATCCGAAAAGGTACATAAAGTTATGTTATTAAGAACTTTAGGTTATATCTTATCTATATATAGTTATTATACTGTCGTATTTGTGCAGGTTTCACTAGCGTCAGACCTCATGTACAACCACATGTCAAGAGACGTCACAGCAAGTGTTGGCTATGATTATGTCCTCAGACAGGTAGACTATGCTATTATAGTTGTTAAGAAATGGAAAGACACATATATATCTTCGTATTTAATGACAGGAAACACTATAAGTGGGTGACTTTGGTCTTTAACACATTCTCCCATGCCAATTCACGTTAACCTATTTGCATTATTTGGAATTTAAGAAATTATATACATACCTAACCTATTTCTTCCGTTTCTTTCAGAGTCGTCTTAGAGGGAAGATTGATTCCAATGGCTGCACGGCTGCTTTTCTTGAAGAGAGATTAAGTATGGGTCTTAAGTTTATTCTTTCTGCAGAGGTGAGAAATCTGTTAGTTTAAATTGATTTATAGACTATTTTAAGACGATATAAGAATAGCAAGGAAATAGATATTTTGAAGCTAAGAACTGATTATTATGCCTGTATTTGTGTACATGCCAAACTGAGTCTCCTTGTGTTGTGTGCTCATCTGTTCCCACCATTCATTTCATTCAAATTCATGGGCAGTGGAACTGTTGAAGTTTGTTTGTGTACTGGAAAGTTGAAACACGGAAGACGTGAATTTGTCTTCAGCCTCCTGCATCTTTGAATTGAGTAATTAGGCTTTGTGGGGCGTGGTCCCAGTTAACCAAATGCCATCCATCAGCTATGATTAGATATTTGTTGCGGTGGTTTCCTTACTGTTATTACACTATTGAGCATATGAAGCTGAATGTTCTATGCTAGGAAATTGGCTTAACTCGCATGCATATAGATGCTGGAGCCTTTGTCTTCGATGTGGTGATAATGTTTGAAACTTAAACGTCTGCCATACTTATGGGTCCTGCCACTAATGCGTCTAGTACCGTTAGGGTTTAGGTTTGTTGAAAACTTGCACAGGTGGATGTGGTGGAGATGCATCTATTCTTGATATTTTCAATTCATATTTCGTAACATTAACAGCATCTCCAAAATTTCTATTTGCAGATGGATCACAAGAAGAAAGACTACAAATTCGGGTTTGGGTTGGCGGCAGGAGAATAGATGCAAAAGCTGAAGGGCTGTTACTGTGAAATTTTATAAAAGCTCATAATTACTACAAGAAGAAAGACTACAAATTCGGGGTAGGATTTGTATTTTGCTCATCTGGCAGTTGAAGATGTTTTGGCTCAAGTTGGCAGGACTAATTCAAAATATCTGTAATTATACAAGCCATGTTATGGTTATAACTAGAACTTGGTGAATTGTTGTAGTATGTATGGTACTGCTGTGACTTTTATGAAATAGATTGAGAATTTTGTTCTTCTCTCAAAATATATTTTCCCCCTAAAAACATTTAAAGGTCTTTGTTATGCAAGGGTGTCTTTTATTTGGTGATCCACAAAACACAATTTGAGCGTCTATTTAATAATATTTTTTTAGCGTCTATTTAATTTGTTGAGAAGTTATTTTGGGTTGAGTTTTTCAAGTGGCTTTGAAAAAAAATTATTATTCATCCAACGCAGGGGAGGGAGGGGCGCGCGTGGTAATTGATGGTATCAAGCAAGCTTCTATAAATGCCTCGGAGTTGGATTGGAGCATATGATACGAATCGGAGAGAGAAAAGAGAAGAGAGAGAGAGAAATGAAGAGGAATACGAAGAAAGAAACAGAGAGGGATGAAGTTGAAGAGTTGCTGCAAGCAGCACAGGACGATATGCTCCTGAAGCTATCTCTCAACTCTCACTTGTCCCGCGGCGTTTCTCTCGACGACGCCGATATCGGCCGTCGCTTCGAGGCCCTCAAAATGAAAACTGTTATTACTGGAGCAGCACCAGGACCAGGACCAGGACCTGCTGCTGCTGCCTCTTCTGTCTCCAAATCCAATTCCAATTCCATTCAAGTGGATGAGGAACTAAAGGAAGTCCTCGGTGACGATCTCTCCACCAGATTCGCCGCCCTCAAGGCTTCAATTCCTATGCCCTCCTCCGATGCTGCCGTCCGGTCGTCGGCATCATCCTACAACGACATCGTCAACGACAACGACGATGAAGATGAAGTTGAAAAGTTGATACGCTGGGCTAAGGACGCCGCTCGCCTCGACCCTTCTCCACCCTCCGACGATGACGACGACCAAGACAAATCGGAATCTGATGATGACGACCACCACCACCACGAGCCAAAGGGGAATGTACCCGATCGTAAATAGGAAAATACTTTGTGTGTGTTTCTTTTTTCTTTTTTTATTATATTTAATTTGATAAATTAGATTTATGAATAAATTATGACACATTGAATCGTGTTTGTAAATTGTAATTGGATTTTTTGGCCCCGGTTAACCCGACTAACATAACGTACAAAATCTAACCAAAACAACGACAGTGCTCCAACATGCCAAGACATAAAAATTGAGCTCAACTTCTGATAAATAACAATCATGATACCCTTTTGTTCACTAATCTATTACATGTAATGACAATTGTAAAGCAGCCTACGAAATAAATCATTCTCCAAAATGGGCCTCATTCTGAATAACTAAGCCATGGATGAGGAGTGTAGTTTCATATTTTTGGAAAGGCACCAAACCCCGTTGAGGTCGTAGTGGAAGAAGTCTGAGGTCCAATCAATCTCTTTCATACTCGAATCCTATATTAACAAACAAAAAACCCAGAACAAAGATTTTGAATCCTACCCAAGTTGTGGCATGGCAGCAAGTATCCTGCATCTATATGTTACTAAAAGAATAAGGCAGCAGAGCCGGTAATGAGATTAACGGAACTCATCATGGAACTCATAGTCCTCTTCTTCATCGTCGTTGAAAATAGCGCTGTAAAATACATAAGGGTTCTCAATCATTTCTGTCAGCGTTAGACGCCCATCTTTATCAGTATCTGCCTGCAATTTACAAAATTAATACACATACGACCTTTAGAATTAGCTAAACCCCAGCCAAAACTTATCAAGTCATAAAAACAAGCGCAGATATGCTATGGTACCATCAGTTTTCTACCCTTCCAAGCTTCCTTATGCAACCCCTAAATATAAAAGAACAACTTCTATCTTTTCTTTCTCTTTTTTTTTTCCCTGGTGCGATGGGGTGGCACAACATCTTTACTGTGAAACTTCATCCGATGTCTCATCTATAACTCTTCAATAAATTTCAGTGACACAAGAAGGATAAGATTTTGGCAGTTCTTGAGCCTAGTGCATGAAAGTTTTACAAAGTGAGGCATTGCAAGCCAAACTCTGTGCTTGCAATACTCTTTTTCAAAAACTTATCTAAGCTTTCTGCCAGCTCAACAACTCCAATTTTTTCACAACAGCTGCATGGTTAATAAGCTGATAAACCACCATCTTATATGTACTAGCCTGATGGCAAGAAGAGAAGAACTGCCCATAACTTCACAATCCAACTACCAACATATAAATTTCAAGCTGTGCCCCGTCTATAAACTGCAAGCAACTTCAGAGCTCTAATGATCTTCAATTTGCCTTTTCCATCATAAGATTACACTAATCTTTGAATATCACATAGCTTACAAGATAAATCAACAAAATTCTGACACTTGAAGATGCTCCAGAAAAAGAAATACTGACTAGCTAAAGAAGGTCATTCATTTTTTAATACTTCAGTTATGTATAATTTCACAAGCCCTTCTTGTTTTGAGATGATTAATTCATCTTAGTAAGCAAGGAGAGGAAGCCCTTGCTGAACACTGAGAGGTGACTCAAACTTAATTTCATGTTATTTCCACATAAAAAGTGCTACTAGATCAACTCATAGGAGCCATATGTGCACATATATATATATATATATATATATGACACAGAAAGCACAAACTAATTGATCCATCAAAACTAAGAAAGAAAATAGTTTTCATTTGTAAAATGATTACCTGTGATGTGATGTAATCTGCTTGTTGTTTTGCATAGTAATGTTCTGATGGATGTATCTTTCCAATAATAGGAAGTAACTCTGCATCTGACAAATATCTGCGGATAATGAAAGGTGGGAACAAGTAAAATGATTAGCAAAAAGGAAACCCTTAAGTAGCTCAGAATAATTACACATAAATAAAAGCAGCTTAAGAAGTACCCGTCACCATCTTTGTCAAGCTGAGCAAACAAATTTCTAGCAGGGGCCTCCATCGAATCATCAAACTGATGTGAGGAATTGTGATTTTCTTCTTCATAGTTTCTCACCAAATCAAAGAGGCCATGAAAGAATTCTTTGAAGTTGATCTTTTCATCTTTGTCTGTGTCCCTTTCCCTAAGGAAAGCAAAGGAGAGAACATACAATCAGAAAAGCTAAGCTAAGCGACCATTTTAGAATGACATGAAGCACAACGACAAATAAGATTATGTAGATGTCTTTCGTCCACAGAGAAACACAAAAATTTGAAAGTTGAAGCAAAAGAAAATTCAATCTAGTTGCTTGAAAATTCTCCTGCAGCTGATGCTGTGCCATAAACTATATCTTACAAACAGATGTGGATCATAAGGATAGGACAAACTAGAATTTAAGAGAAGAGAAATTAATATCACCTTACTTCCTCCTTGCACAACCACTGAAGTAGCTTTGGGTTTTTGCTGTCAGCTGGGTGTAGAAAGCTAGAAAAGCATAAATCATGGACATCAAGTTGAAGAAGGTATTTCAAAAGATTTTGATGTAAAACAGTAAAAGGAACTTGATAGAAGGCAGAAGCTCACTCATTGAACTCAGTTATATTAAGAAGACCATCTCCATCTGCATCTGATGCATTGAAATGCTCCTCTTTCCACCAACCCATATCATAGCCAAACGAATTGTTATCTGGTACATGGAACAGAAATCAGAAACAAGGAGAAAATGACATGAAAATGAGGACCTAAACAACACAAGATACTTTTATCAGATACAATACTAAGTTTCTTCTCACGCATTTTCATTGGACCATTGGTACTATCTAGGAGCAGTCGAACATACTGAAGAATGACCCTCGTTTTACAATAATTTAAGAGGTTGCTTGCGGAAACCGAAATTCAGAAATGCCACATAGCATAATAGCAATAGATTGAATTTCAGCAGTAAAGCCAATCTAATAGCAGCAAATAGATAAATTTGGAGGAGCAAGATATGAGCAATAACCAAAATGTTTGCAATTTAATTAACAAAGACAAGAAAGAAGACACATCCTCTATCTTTCATCTCCATGGAGTGAGAGAGAGCAAAACAGATCAAAAGCGAAAAGAAAAAAGACATGAGTAAGTAGTGAGTGAGTGGAGTGGTAAGGTGACCTGCATTCTGCACCCAACTTGGAGGCTGATACTCGGCAAAGGAAACAAAACCGTCACGGTTCTTGTCATGAAGCTCCATATCCCTTTGAGTGCGATGCAGTACTTCCTTCTGAGCCTGCTTCAAATTCCACTGAGTCAACTCGTCCTCAGTGATGAAGCCATCAGCGGGGTCGACATCAACCTTAGGAAACAACAAGAGCAACCTGTTGGTGACGTTGAACCTCTCTTCGTCGTTCAAGTAGTCCTCCGCGTTCATGAAGTCTTCCCACTCGGGCTGAGACTCGGCGGCGGGGGCGGAGTCGTTGAGATCGAAGTGCTGCTGCTCCCACTTGCGGTCCTCGAGGCGGCGCTCGATATCGGCGACGAGAGGGTCGAAGGGGATGGGGTTGTGGTGGTGCAGCGGAGGAGCGAAGGTGAAGTTGGACCGCAGCTTCAGCCGCCGGTGACGTTGGCTGCCGCCTTTTTTGGGGGAGTGGGAGATAAGCAACAGGATTAGGACTGCTATTGTTATGTATATGATTACTGATACTGACGGCCTCGCCATTGCTCTGATTTTCTCAATGCAAGGCAACTCTCAACTGAACTGAACCCAGAAAACAGAGAGACCTTGTTGTTGACTATTATTTGGACGAGAGGACTTGGGAGAAGAGAAGGAGGAGAGAGAAACCGAATGAGGTTTGATGAAGGTGTCTTTGGAGAGTCGGGAAGTTGTGGATCTGCTGCTTGTTTTTCACTTTCCTATTTTTTTGATAAGATCTACCGCATCCCAGTTTATTAGAGCGACCACCCCAACCTTGTTCCAATTAATAATATTAATATAATTATTGATGGATGTTAGAACAACTCATTAATTAATTAATTAATCTTTTTCTTTCTTATATTAGCGGCATGATTAAGCAAATTAGCAAAATAAATCGACCCGCTCACTTACTATGCAAGCTCAATGAAGCCCAGGCCCAAAAGAGATTAGTAACAAAATAAGATCGAAATGGTGGACTCAAACTCAACCCATGATCCAATTCCAATTTCCAACCCAGCAGATTTCCCGATTGGGATCTGGGATCATCAAATTTTATTAATTTTTTGGCTTTCTGTTTTTTGTATTTTTATTAAAAAAGAAAAGAGTTTAAGACAAGACCAGAAGAGGAGGAGGGCCTGGAGGAGGAAGTGACGGAGACTTGGAATGAGAGAGGAGGGGAAGAGTGCTAGGATCTGACTGAAAGTGGGAGCCTAGACGACGCCGTTGCGTTTGCAGCGAAAGAACAAGGAAGGGAATATGTTGAAATTCTTGAAGGGAGTGGTGGGTGGATCGGGGACTGGACCCAAAGATCTGCCCTACAATATCGGCGAACCTTACCCCTCTGCTTGGGGCTCTTGGACTCACTTCCGGGGCACCTCCAAGGTCGGTCGTCGTCACCTTCTCTCTCTCTCTCTCTCTATATATATATGTGTGTGTGTGTGTGTGTGTATATGTATCTATATAACTTTGTATGTATGTATGTATGCATGTTTCTTCGTCAAGTTTCATCATGCCAATGGTGGATGTGAATGAGTCTTGAGTGGATCTGAAGCCTGAAGAAGGCTGGTGATGTTTTGTTTGGGATGAAAGAATATGAATGAAAGGGTTTGTTTTGGCTTTCTTTTGAATAAATAAACACTTTTCAGGACGATGGGTCTCTGGTATCCGTGTTTTCTATATCTGGAAGTAATGCTCAGGATGGCCATTTGGCCGCTGCTCGCAATGGTGTCAAGCGTCTCCGTACTGTGAGTCTTCTTCTGTTGTTTCTGTTGTCGTCAATTTATCATTACATTTTGCTATTTTGTTTCATAATCACATATGCAAATGCAAATTGGTTCATTTCTGATTTTGTTTTTCTCCTTTCAGGTCAGACACCCAAATATCTTATCCTTTCTTCATAGTACTGAGGCTGAAACTTTGGATGCTTCTACCACCAAGCAAACTATCTATATTGTTACCGAGCCTGTTATGCCACTCTCTGAAAAGATCAAGGAACTCAGTTTACAAGGTATCCAAAGGTATTTCAAACATAAACTACCTGCTCCCCTTCCTCTTTTTGTTGTTGTTTTTTTTTAATAACACCATCAACAGTATACACACACACACACACACTTTCCTTCTTCAGAAAAAGTCGTCATATCTTCTACGATTTCTTTTCTGCCTTGCCCACACAACATGTCATCTTATGAGTTGCTTACACGTCACCATCTTATTCTAAATTTTGTATGTTAAATTTTATTTCTCTTCCTTACTAGAGCTTGTCTTTTCTTTTTCAATTATTCTGCTACGTAATTTGTTTCAATATGCATATCTTTTGCTTTTCTTTACACAATTGCACATACAAATCTTATAAATAGACACTGCGGTTCTCAATAAATCTCTAAAATTTACTTAATCTATACATTTTGTTCCTTGATGTTAGGGATGAGTATTTCGCGTGGGGACTGCACCAGATTGCTAAAGCTGTCAGCTTTTTAAATAATGATTGTAAACTTGTAAGTTTTCATAATCGGAAATACCTGCATTTTGCATGGGGACAGTGCCATAATCTCTCTCTTTCTCTCATATATAATTGTTATACTGTTTGACTAGCTTTTGGCTACTGCAGGTTCATGCCAACGTTTGCTTGGCCAGTGTTGTTGTAACTCAAACTTTGGACTGGAAGCTGCATGCTTTTGATGTGCTATCTGAGTTTGATGGCAGCAATGAGGCTTCTGCTGGACAAATGCTGGTAAGCATGTCTTTCAGATTTATTTCCTGAACAGTTGTACAATAAGTTTCTATTTTACCTAGCTTCTCTCAAGTGGAAGAGCTTGCTTTTCTAGTCTTAAGTTTAGTTATTTTTCTTTTCTTGTTTGAATAGTAATGGATGGAATGCTGCTTGTTTCCACTAAGATATATTCTTGTGGATATTTGTGCTTAAAAAATTGCTTAAGAATAGTCAGAAGTTGGGATGTGTTTCTCACCAGTTCTTATTTGCCTTCAGCAATTCGCCTGGCTTGTTGGACCACAATACAAACCCATGGAGTTGTTGAAGTCCGATTGGGCGGCAATCAGAAAGTCTCCACCATGGGCCATTGATTCTTGGGGCTTGGGTAAGTCTGTTGTGGTCTGTTCCTCACAACATGATTATTGGTCTTTTGTGTTAAGTTGATCAATAAACGAACTGTTGATGCAGAACTTAATTAATTCTTTTCTGGAGATGTAGAAATGACTTTTAATTCCTGTTACATGTGTACTGGATCTGGCTACTTTTATCAATTTTAGCGAAAAGGGTCATTCTTGTCTAATATCATGGTACAGATTGAGTTGCTTTTTCTTCATTGTCCCATTGTTTTCAGGATGTGGTATAGGTTTTTTGTGAAGCAAGGTTGAGTCAGGTGATTCCATGTTCTTGTGCATCTTTTATGAAGGAATTTTGTGCTTGTGGTGGAGAGAAAAAAAAGGCTGGTGCCTTGTGGATTTGTATTGTGTTGGAAAATGACAATCTTTTGGGTTTTTTAGTAGGAGAGAAATGGTAGGATTTTTGGTGCCTTGTGGATTTGTATTGTGTTGGAAAATGACAATCTTTTGGGTTTTTTAGTAGGAGAGAAATGGTAGGATTTTTAGGGCAAAAGGTGGAAGGAAGTGAATTTTTTTTTTTTTTTTGTGGGGCAGGGTTATGCTTCTGCTGTTGCTGGGGATTTTGGTATTCAATGAATTTAGACACATTCCATTTGTTTTATCTTAACGTGGATCGGAGGGATGATGTATTGTAAGTCAGTTGTTAGAGTTTGAAGGCTTTTTGTTGCCTGATGTAATACCGATTTTGTACTGCTAAGGTTGTTATATTGGCTTTGATTGTATTTTCAGTGAATGCTGACCCACTGTTGCTGTATTGCTGACTAGTTTATATTAATGAAGTTATTATGTTTCTCGTTAAAAAAAATTATACTGTCATTCATATGAATTTTATTGCTTATTAGCTGTTGAGTTTCATATTTTGTTGCTGACCTGTGGGTTAAATACACTTCCCTTAAGAATCTAAGTTCTTTGTTTAAACTGATAGGTTGTCTTATCTATGAACTCTTCTCTGGTCTGAAGTTAAGCAAAACAGAGGAGCTGCGCAACACTGCTTCTATTCCAAAGGTTAGTAGCCTTCTACTGTACCTTATTCTTTTTAATTTCTCTTGAAAACTACAGTGTTAACTGCATATTTTACATCTGTCTGAAATGTGTTAATCCTTTTGAAGATTCAGTTTCACTTGCATCTCTCTATTTTCTTGTCTCACAGTCTCTGCTTCCAGATTATCAGCGGCTCTTGAGCTCCACGCCTTCTCGTAGGCTGAATACGTCAAAGCTTATAGAAAATAGTGGTGATCTTTCCTTCTTAACTTGAGTTAATTGCTTCTTATGTCTTTGAGAAATTATAGTCTTGAGAATATCAGTCTGCTTCATGGTTTGAGGATTGATTGGTATTTCATATAATATTATATAGCATCTATTAGTTTCCTGTCTTGATTATCATCTGTGGCTGTCTGTGCATGTGTAATACATTATCTGACTTTTGGATTGTTTTAAGGTTTCTTTTTCATATATAATTATATGCAATTGTCCATACATATATGATTTTTTTATTTATAAGTATTTGACATATAAATCATAATTATCTGGGTACTAGAAACAACTTTATCAGTGCATGTTCATGAATCTATAATTTCAAATATATGTTTCTATGACAAATTGTTTGTAACTATGCAAACGTTTCTTGACCAAAGTGCATGGTAACCTTACAGTAATGAATCTTAGTATAAGCTTTCAGATTTTCGCTTTTAAAATTATTTGGTCAAATATAAGCTTTCAGATGAGTATAGGGTGTGGTGGACTCTAGTTATAAGGCATGGTGGACATGAGTGTTAAGTCTCAGAGGGCCCGAAACTCCCAATTTTAATGGGTGTCCTACAAATGAATGTAGGAAATATGAGAGAACGCTAGCCCATTCTCCCAAAAGAGGATTGAAGTTGTATGCATCATGCATGTGTAACCAGAATATTATATTTGCCCCTTCTATTTTCTATACCTCGGTGGTTTTACTATATCATGTGTCGTAGTATTCTTTTTCACAAACATTTTCTTTGGTAGTTTAATTTTTTTCTTATTTGACTAAGTACTGCAACAATTGGATTTGCAGAGTATTTCCAAAATAAGCTGGTGGATACGATACATTTCATGGAAATTCTAAATCTGAAAGATAGTGTTGAGAAGGATACCTTCTTCCGCAAGCTTCCAAATTTAGCGGAGCAGCTACCTCGCCAAATTGTGCTGAAAAAGGTGTGAGTTTCGGAGTGTTGTGTTTTTTCGACTTTGAAATATATAATCGACCTTTTTAGTATCAGATTATAATCCTTCCTC